AAACTGAAGCGGATTAGTCGATTTGATCGGTTAACCAAGAATCAGACTGTGGTCCGGTCTAAATTGGATAGTGAAACCAAGAGGTTAAAAAATCAGAGAGAACCGGTGAGAACTAGACAAAAACCAGTGAACCAAAGTAGCATTTTATTATGGTTCGATTCAAAAAAAAATTTAAATAAAAAAAGAGAAAATATGAGGAACTTAGATATAATAGCAAAAAGCTTGCTTAATCGACAAAAACAATTATGGATCGAAAGTCTTTAGTCAGACTTTTAAGAATCCGATTTAGTGAACCTCTACATCCACCGATTCAGTGACCAGTCCGGTTCTCAGAACATTGGAATTAACCATGTTATAAATTATTTTTATTAAAAATGTAAATGATTATGTTTTTCTTTAAATTCAACTCTTTTATTACTTTGTTTTGTATTTTAAAGAGTTATGATTTAGGAATTTTGGAGATTCAAAAATTTCCTTGTATGTCAAATTTCTTTTATTTCTTCTTGAAAATATCTCTATTCTTATTTAAACATTTCAAATTTAAATTTTTTCATTAATTTAAACTATGCTTCAATTTGAGAAGTTCGAGCTCCCTAAGTCATTGTAAGTCTAGCGAAGGGATATGTTGATAACTTGCAAATCCAATTTTCTTTTATTGTTATATTTGTGTTGATTTGGTGTCATTTTGTGCTTAAAAGAGTGGTTTAACTTGATTTATTGTTTTTATGCTAGGAAAAGTTGGATTTAGTTGGATTTGTATGAATTGAAGCAAAAAGGAGCACAATTGAAATGTTTTGGAGCAAGGAAGGAAGCTGCTGAATTTGGAACACAAATGCAAGCTATTAGGCTCTTAACCTTGGGGCAAGACTAAGCAAGAATCAGACCCAGCGGCCGAACTGATTGTGACATATTATTGGCTGGTCACAACTTCTTCAACTAATTCCAGCACGTTTTACAGCCACATGATGATATTAGACACAGTTTTTAGTGGGTATTTTTATTGTATTAGTGGACCCCACCTTTTAGGGGCTATTTAAGTCGAAATTAGGTCTTTTTGTGGATCATCTTTTGCCTCCCTGGGGTTGTGACGAATTTGAGAGAATTTTTTGAGAGATTTTTGCCGAACTTTCAATCCTTTAGATGATGTTTTCTTCTATAGCCATGTGTGGCTAAACGTTCTGTTCAGTTAAGGCTAAACCAAGGTAGAAGTTTGATTTCGATTGTGAGATTATATTAAACTTAATTGAATTTCTTTATTCTATTGCATTTATATTCTTTCTGTGACTTATTGGGAAAATATATCCCCTAGCGAAATTTTATTGAATGATTTAACAGTTTTATTGAATGATTTAACAGGGCCCGTTATATTGTTGGTTGAAATTTCCATAGCTATTCGGCGTAATCAAATTCCGTTAATTGTTTGGTTAGGTTTGATGCCAAGTAGTATTAATATAACCGTAATTGGTAAATTTTTTAGGTTGTATTAAGAAAGAATATAATCAGATTTAAATGGCATGCTCGTAGTTTCTGTTAATCTGGGCAGCGGTTCTTATTAGATTTTTTTAAAGCGGTTAACAGCATTAAATCTCATCGTTACTTAGGATTGCTAGTTAATTAGGCGGTTGTTATTAGATCGTATCTTAGCAACCTATTCCTACGGTTAGAATTTGGTTGGGTTGACGTTCCTTTCTGGCTATAACTGTCATGTAATATGAATTAAGGAATTAATCTGGATCAATGATCACTCGAATCAAAATCTTCGAACCGCGGATGCCTTGGCTGAATTTACTATCAATTGTTTCAGGTTCAAATTTTTATTTTATTGCATTTATTTCTTTGCATTAAATTTTAATTTCGTTTTAGTTCGATTTATAAATTCCCCCGTTCAAATCTATTTTTAATTTTATTTTCATTCTGGTTTTATTTTCGACAAAGCTTAATCCCTAAGGGTTCGCCCTTCTCACCATATTTAACAAGTTTTATTTTGTAGGAGAGCAAGGTTAATATTTTTGGCGGATTCGGACGCCCGTCCAAATTTTTGGCGCCGTTGCCGGGGATTAGTGCCGGGGACTAGTTAACTTTACTGTTTGTTGTCTTTTTGAATGACCAGGTCTGAAAATTTGCCAATATTATTTGATCCTGAGATAGAGAAAACAGCCCGCTCACTAAGGAGACAAGCGAAGGAGCGAAAGTGGGCCGAATCGATTTCCGAAACTGAACCGAAAAGTCCAGCAGCTGGTCACCTTGATTTTACAGCTGAAACCGAAGAAGAAAGTCTTGAGCAGGAAGAGATTCTCACAGAAATTGACCAAGAGGAAGTTATGGCCGAAAACCGCACTGTTCGAGAGCTACAGGCTGCCCCTGTAGAGCAGCAGCCTATGTGTATTACTTACCCGGAGTTGGAAGCGCCATTTGAGCTTAAATCGGGTCTTATTCACATCAACTTCCGAACTTTCCTCAACTTCCGACTTTCCATGGAATGAAGACCGAAAACCCGCATAATCACTTGAAGGAATTCCATGGAGTTTGTTCTAGCATGAGACCGCAGGGGGTAACTGAAGAGCAAATTAAGTTGAGAGCATTCCCGTTCTCTCTTAAAGATGCTGCTAAGGAGTGGTTACTTAATCTACCTCCAGGTTCTATCACCACATGGCCTGATATGGCTCGAGCATTCTTGGACAAGTATTTTCCTGCTTCTAGGGCAGCCATCATACGAAGAGAAATTTGTGGGGTTAGACAAAAGGCTGGAGAGAGTCTTTATGACTATTGGGAGAGATTCAAGAAGTTATGTGCAGCCTGCCCGCAACATGGGATGTCTGAGCAGTCCCTAATATTTTATGAAGGGGATGCTTGACATGGAAAGGAAGATGGTTGATGCAGCTATGGGCGGGAGCACTTGTTAATCAAGACTCCATTTCGCAAAAGCAAGAGAGATTTATTTCCACTATGGCCGCCAATTCACAACCAATTTGGCCAAGTTGAAGACCCTCCAGGAGCTATATCAGGTATGTGATTTTTCCATTCAGGCTCAACTGATACGAACTAACCTCTATTGTTAAATCTATTGCTGCAGGGCAACCTGTTGAAGAGAAGTGTGTTGCGAGGTTATGTTTGCAGCGATTCACCCAACTGGGACACATGTCCATCGTGGTATGGTGATCAAGAGCAAGTTAACGCTATGGAGGAATATCCGGGCAGCCCCCAAAGACGATGGGTAAACACCTTCAATATGCGTGTGAAGAATCAATCCTAAATCTTAGCTATGGAAGCCACAACCAAAATTTCCAAAAAGGATACCAACCAAGCTAGACCAACCTCCTCAAACAAAGCTCCTCCCCCAAAATACATTGGAAATATTGGAGGTCCACTTGCCACTTTCAGACAAGGAATTCCACGAAGAAACGAAAAAATGTAGGAAGATGGAACAACAAAATAGACTTGCATCTTTCCTTGAGTAGACTGGAAAACACAAGGGGGCTTCCTTCCCAAACGGTGGTAAACCCAAGGGAAAATGCAAGTGCGATCACTTTGAGGAGTGGTAAAGAGCTAAACACAGCAGCCCCTAAAAAAGGCAGCAGGAGTTCTAAGGAAGAAGCTGAAAAGGAGGTAGAAATTCACCGAAATAGGCCTTTCGAATAGGCTGAAGTACGGCAGCCCCAAACCTTTACTGTTCAGCCTCCTTTTCCCGAGAGATTGGCTAAAACAAGGAAGGAAAGTGAAGAGAAAGACATTTTGGAGACCTTTCGCAAGGTGGAGGTGAATATTCCATTGTTGGATGCTATATAAACCAAGTACGCAAAAGTTTCTCAAGGAACTTTGTACCAACAAAAGGAAGGTAGATAGTGTTGAGAAGGTGGAGATGGGTGAAGTTTGCTCCGCCATGATTCAAAGAAAGAGGCTCCCACCAAAGTGTAAAGATCGAGGTATGTTTGCTATTCCTTATAAAATAGGCAATGTAGGGATTAAGAGATCTATGTGTGATTTAGGAGCTTCTATAAATGTCATACCTTTATCTGTTTACTCATCTTTCAAGGGTTGTCCCTTGAAAGAAACGCGTATTATTATTCAATTGGCAGACAGGTCTATAGTGTATCCCGTGGGATTGCTAGAAGATGTTTTGGTTCAGGTTGGTGATTTAATTTTTCCAGCAAATTTTTCCAGCAGATTTTATTACTTAATATGGAGGATGATTAAATCCTCGACTGTAAGTGATTATTGCTTGGGAGACCTTTTTCTCCGCAACTGTCTCCGCACTGCAAGGACAAAAATTGATGCGTATGAAGGCACATTATCTATGGAGTTCGATGGTGAGAAAGTCGAATTTAATGTTTATGAGGCTATGAAGTACCCTAGTGATGTGTCTAGTATTTGTTCTATTGATGTAATTGATCCTTTAGCACAATAAATGTTTGAATTAAATGCTGTTGATGAGCTTGATTTAGTGCTTTGCAGGAATATTAATATGGACAGCATTAAAGAGATTGAGGAAAGCTTCTTGGTTAATGAAAGTGTACAGGAAATTGTGTGCGAGATGGAGACAAATCAGCCCCTAATGAGCAGCCGTAGTCATATTGTTTTGCTTTCTCACCATGAGAAGCTTTTACCATCTGTTTTGCAGGCACCCAAGTTGGAGTTGAAACCGCTACCCGACCACTTAAAATATGCATTTTTGGGGAATGGAGACACATTGCCTGTTATCATCTCCAGCAAACTTAGTGAGGTTGAAGAAGAGAGCTTGGTTCAAGTTGGTTCAAGTTCTTAGGGAGTATAAAGAGGCCATAGGATGGACAATAGCAGATATTAAAGGGTTGAGTCCATCAACTTGTATGCACAAGATTCTTCTAGAAGAAGGCAGCAAACCCACAAAAGAAGCTCAAAGGAGGTTGAATCCACCTATGATGGAGGTGGTGAAGAAGGAAATACTGAAGTTGTTAGATGCTGGTATGATTTACCCGATTTCTGACAGTAAATGGGTAAGCCCTGTACAGGTAGTGCCTAAGAAGACAGGAATTACTGTAGTGGAGAATGCTGAAGGAGAGTTGCTTCCTACAAGAGTTCAAAATGGGTGGAGGATGTGCATAGATTATAGGAAGTTAAATGCAGCCACAAGAAAAGATCACTTCCCACTTCCATTTATTGACCAAATTGGAAAGATTAGCTGGTCGTTCTCATTATTGTTGTCTTGATGGTTTTTCAGGTTTCTTTCAAATACCAGTGGCACCCGAAGACCAAGAGAAGACGACTTTCACTTGCCCTTTTGGTACATGTGCTTATCGACGGATGTCGTTCGGTCTTTGCAACGCACCAGCCACATTCCAAAGGTGTATGGTTAGTATATTTTCAGATTTTGTAGAGGAGATTATTGAGGTATTTATGGATGATTTTACCGTCTCTGGTAATTGTTTTGATGAATGCTTAACTAATAAAACCTTTACAAAAAAGTCTTTAAAGAGGTGTATAGGATCAAAAACCTAGTGCAAATATGAAAAATGCCATTTTTAATGGTAGACCAAGGGTTTGATTCCAGGAACACATTGTCTTTCAATCAAAGAGGCATTGAGTTGACAAAGCTAAAATTGATGTAATTTAAATCCTTACCTTACCCTGCAAGTGTGCGGGAGATTCGTTCTTTGTTCTTTCCTTGGCCATGCAGGTTTCTACAGACGCTTTATTAAGGATTTTTCAAAGATAGCTCAACCGCTTTGCAAGCTTTTGCAAAAAGATGTGTCTTTTGTGTTCGATGAGGAGTGTAGAAAAGCATTTGATATGTTGAAGGAGAAGCTCATTTCTGCTCCAATAGTCCAACCACCGAACTGGAACTATCCTTTCGAGATTATGTGCGATGCGAGTAACTATGCTGTAGGGGCTGTTCTTGGACAGCGTATTGAGAAGAATCCTCATGTCATATACTATGCATCAAGAACACTGGACAATGCCCAATGCAACTACTCTACCACACAGAGAAAAAGAGCTTTTTGGCGATTAGTGTTATGCTTTGGAAAAGTTCAGGTCGTTTTGTTAGGAACAAAGGTGATAGTTTTCTCTGCACCATGCAGCATTGAGGTATTTGTAAAGAAGGAAGGGTTCCAAGCCCCGTTTGATTCAGTTGGATTGGATTCTTTTGCTTCAAGAGTTTGATATAGAGATAAGAGATAAAAAGGGGTCCGAGAATCTTGTTGCTGATCACCTTAGCCGGTTGATTTTGAATGAAAAGTCGTCACCATTGGACGATGATTTTCCGGATGAGCAACTCTTTAGCTTCCAAAAAGTTGTTCCATGGTATGCTAATATAGTGAATTATTTAGTTGCAGGTACTTTACCAGAAAACTTAACTAGAGCTGCAAAAGATAAAATCAAGAGAGATGCTAAGTATTTTGTTTGGGATGATCCATACTTGTGGAAGTTTTGTTCTGACCAGGTGATTAGAAGATGTGTTATGGATGTGGGAAGATGTGTTATGGATGTGGAAGTGCCATCCATTCTGAAAATTCTGCCATTCATCAAGCTTGTGGAGGTCATTTTGGTCCTCAACGAACAGCTCGCAAGATTTCTGGGAGTGTGGACTTTTTCTGGCCATCATGTTTAAAGTACTCGTACATTTTTGCAAAATCTTGCGAAAATTGCCAGAAGACAGGTATTTGAGTCGTAAGAGATCAGATGCCCCCTTACGCTCTAATTCTCATTTGTGAGATTTTTTATGTGTGGGGTATAGATTTTATGGGGCCAATTCTCGTCATCTTCGGGAAATAGCCTACATATTGGTTGGCAGTGGATTACGTGTCCAAATGGGTTAAGCTTAAGGCAACTCGGACTGATGATGCGAAGACAGTAGTTGAATTTTTTGTCAAGAGCCATATTTTTTCTCGGTTGGAATTCCAAGAGCAATTATGAGTGATCGAGGAACTCATTTCTGTAAACAAGATTATGGAGAATCTGTTTCAAAGAAGTAATGGTATATGGCAATACGTGTCTCTACAGCCTACCAAGCCCCGCAAGACAAGTGGACCAAGCAGAAGTTTTAATAGGGAAGTAGTCTATACTGGAAAAAACTGTGAGTGCCTAATAGAAAAGATTGGAGTGTCAAGGCTGGACGACGCTTTATGGGGCTTATAGACAGCGTATAAGACAGACCGATAGGAAATGGTCACCCTTATCGCTTAGTTTAATTGGAAACCATGTCTTTGCCTGTCGAGTTGGGGAGCACCGCGCATTTTGGGCTATTTCAGCGCTGCATATGCAGTATGGTGAAGCTTGTGATAACCGAAAATTACAAATTGCAAGAGGCTTGAGGAAATTCGCTGAAGATTATGAAAGCTCGCAAATATACCAAAGAGAAGACTAAGGCTTTCCATGATGGCATGATATCCAGGAGAGCTTTGTAGTTGGTCAAAAAAAGTTCTAATTATTTCATTCTAAACTCAAAATTATTTCCTGGTAAGTTAAGGTCCAGACATGGACTGGTCCATTTGTTTTTTACTAAATGTTTTTGCTCATGGTTGCAGTGGAAATTCAAAAGTCTAAGAGACGCAATAAAATTTTTTAAAAGTGAACGGGCATCGATTGAAGCCATTTTATGAAAGGTTTTGGAGTCTACTCAATCAGAGAAATTTGAGGCTCGAAAGAGCCAGGGGAATAATAGCTGATTAGCTAAGAACGTCTAGCCGGAGACGTTAAAATCAAGCGCTTACTGGGAGGCACCCAAGCATTTAGTTTCTGTTTCATTTATTTTTAATAATTTTTTTTTTGCTCTCTGAAATTTTCCATTATTATTTTTTTTTTTTCTTTATTTATTTATTTTTTTTTTTTTTGAAAAAAAAAAACAATAAAAATTGCATGAACAGTGTCGTCCCTAACTGGGGGACCACTGTGTTTTTCTGGTTTAAACTCTATAGAGTTTTTAAATGGCAATGGTTAAAAGTTGTTTTATTTTCTATTTTTGGCTGTTGTTCGTTGGGGAGTAATAGGGGCGTTTATCGTTTTAAGCAAGAGGGTAATATTTGCAATTAGAGTTTTTTTTTTTCTTTTCTTTTTATTCAGCTACTTTTGTTAATATATATTGGGTAAAAAATTAATAATCCTTAATATTTTGTGCGGCAACTGTAAAGAAAACAAAAGGAAAAAAAAAGAGAGAAATAAGAGAACCCCAAAACAGGGGCAGCAGGCCGCCAACAGGGGCAGCAGGCGCTCTTTGGACGAAAATCTGCGTTGGCTGAGAGTCTTGAACGATGGAGGAGTTTCTGAAGAACGGCGACAAGAATTTTGTCACTCGATCGATCGACCTTAAAACCCACAGACTTTCTTTTCGTCCTTAGGCCCAATCCTAGCGTCAACTCTACAACAGCGCGACGCAAAAACCCAACAGCAGCGTCCTTTCCTTTCCTCATCTGATTCTCTCCGTGCCAACTTCAGCAACAATGTATTAATTTAACTTCCTATTAGAATAGAAATCGTGATTTAAGATAGGTCTGTGCTCAATTTACTGCATTGTCGATTGATTTCAATTGGGTTTTTTTTTTTAGTCAATCAATAATTTGTTGCTGATTTGAATTAGGAACGAACTTAGCTATATTATAGATTGTTGGCTGAAGCTATAAGAGCACATTTGATTTATGGGTTTTGTTTGTTTTCGCAAGTTTTTATTGGGTTTTTTATGTTTAACTTGCAATAACTTGCCTGAAAGGGGAAGTTTTTAATAATTTTCTTGCTTGTTGATAATTCGAATTTTGTTTAAATTGAGTTGGAATTGATAAACTGAGTGGGAGTTCGATTGCTGAATAATTTATGAAGTTGGGTTTAATTCTAGATTTTATTGACTACATTCAGTGTTTCAAAGTGCGATTTGGGATCAAATTTAATTGGGTTTTAAATTAGTAATTTTGAATATGAGCTTCTTTTTTAACTTAGAATCTGTTAATCATTGTTTTGAACTAATTTTGCTTGCATGTTTTGCTATGTTGTTTTAATGCCATGGTTCAGTATTGAGAGTAATAGGTACAACATCAAACCCAATTGATTGAATTGCAGAAGTTGGTGGCGATTGGGAAAATTTTGCCATGTTCAGTATTGGAAATTTTATTGATAGTTTGAGCAGAATTGTTTATTAAGTTGAACTGATTTTTGGCTTTGCTGGCTCTTTTGCTTGGTTAACATCTTTGAGGTGATAGTAAAGTTTGCACTACATTTGCAGACTAACAAACCTTTGGTTTGCATTTTGTTTTTTTGGTTTTTCTTTGGTTGTGTTTTTGTGGTTTTTCAGTTGCATTTCAGGATGAGCAAGAGCAATATTCTTAATGGCTAGAACAGGGCAGTTTCCTTCAACTTTAGCCTTTTATTTACATTTTAAGCCTTTGAAGTCACATTGAGGACAATGTGTGGAGTAAGTGTGGGGAGGGGAACGTGACCCATTTTTGCTTTGAAGTTTTAATTTTATTGCTAAAAACTGCTAATTTTTGCTGGAATTTATGCTTCAATTATGGATATATGCCTGCTGCCAATGGTTGCATATTTGTCATGAAACTTGACCATTTTTTTTTAACTGTTTTGTAAAATGGCTCCCTAGAGTTTTTTATTTAACACACTTTATCCCATGGAATATTTTGAGTAAAATTTTTTATTTTTTTGAGCTTGCCATTTGGGATTACTCTAGGACTTAATTGGTGTCTTTAAACATGATTTAGAAATTCATAGGATAATCTAGAGAGGAGAATTTGCTTTTGAAAGTTGGTCCTGACGCTGTTGTGAGAACCTAGACGATAAGATCTTAGCGAAGCGGAAACCATAACTTGAAATTGACCGTCAATTGCACTCGTGATCTTAGTTTAATAAATTGTTTTTTACAGCTTTGAATTTCTCAAATCGGTTTTTGAAAAACTTGGCCTCTTTTGAATAAGTGTTTTTTGAGAGCAATCGTCGAAGCAAAAAAAAAAAAAAAAATTTAGGAATAGCTTCCGAACACTGAACTCTCTCTCACGTTCCCGCGTTGAGGCGAAATCCTAGGTGAGTCTCGACCTTTGGAAAAATGATCTAGGCATTCTTGGTCGATCAAAAAAAAAAAAATCTAACATTTTCCCCACCTTGACGTTACATCCTTTTTACCCCTTCTAGCCTACGAAGCATGCTAATGCGTGCTTCCAAATTCTTTCAATAACCCCCAATATAACGCATATAACCCAAAAAGCTCTTTGCCTACCACCTTTGAACAAAGAAATATTCTTTTTAAATCGTTGTTGAGCATGCATGTTTAAGTTTCAAGTTTTGGTGCGGAATGCATTTTTGTTTTGTGTTTATGTTTGTGTTTTGGAATAAAATAGTCATAGGCGACTTAATATGTATTAGTCGTTGTGATGTCGAAAAAAAAAATTAACAGAAAAAAAAAAGGAAAGAAATCCAGAAAAAGAAATAGAAAAAAGAAAAAAAAAGAAAGGAAGAGAGAATAAATTAACAGCAGCAAAAAAAAAAAAAAAGGGGAAAATAGAAGAAAAGGCTGCAATGTTATGTTTGTTTTTGTGAAGTTTTGCATTTTGTTGCAATCTAAGCATTAAAGTTAATAACGTGCATTGCTGCTTTGAACCTAATGTGAAAAAGACTTATTTTTCTTATTATTCCTCGTAGCCTTACATTATCCTTTTCTTTTGTAACCAATTACCCTAGGCCTAACCCATCCTAAAAGACCTAATGATTCTTAGTTGGAGACTTGTCCATAACATTAGTGGAGAGGGAAAACCGCAAGGGAGAGCTTATGGTTGTTCATTAATCTTGGTTTCTTTGAAGCTAATGAAATGTATTTTAATATGCCTTGACTTATTGCTCGACAAACATTTGTTGATGTCAAGCTTCAATATGTGTGGTGGAGTGTTTTTAAGAATTCTTAGTGTAACCTTTTTCGATTGAGTTCACGATGATGGGATGAATTTTGAACGGTTTGGTACCAATTGCCCGATTTTGCGTTGTTTGAGGTTTTTTGTAATATGTTGAATCGAGTTTCCGTTGTGAAGTTGTGGGTATGCCTATATAGAATTTAGATTTCGAATTCTAAGTCATTGCTTTGAGGACAAGCATGGGAATAAGTGGTGGGGGATTTGATAACTTGTAAATCAATTTTTCTTTTAATTGTTATTATTTTGTTGATTTGGTGTCAATTTTGTGCTTTAAAAGAGTGGTTAACTTGATTTATTGTTTTTATGCTAGGAAAAGTTGATTTTGATATGAATGAAGCAAAGGAGCACAATGAAATGTTTTGGAATTGCAAGGAAGGAGCTGCTTGGAATTTTTGGAACACAAATGAAGCCTGTTAGGCTCTTTAAGCCTTTGGGCAAGACTAAGCAGGAATCCGACCAAGCGGACTGATGTTGACATTATTGGCTGGTCGACTTCTTCAACTAATTCCAGCACGTTTTAACAGCCACATGATGATATTAGACACAGTTTTTAGTGGTAATTATTATTGTAAATTAGTTGGCCCCACTTTCTTAGGGGGCTATTTTAAGTCGAATTTAGGTTTTTTTTGTGGATCACTTTTGCCTCCCTGGGTTGTGACGAATTTTTCAGAGAATTTTTTGAGAGATTTCGGCCGACCTTATCAATTCT